AGAGAAACCCTGTCTTGAAAAAACAAAAAAACAAAAAAAAACAAAAAACAAAAACAAAAACAAACCCCACATGCATAAAATAAAACTAAAGATTTAAAAATATTATTAAAAATAAATAAATGAGCCAGGCAGTGGGAGTGCACAGTTTTAATCCCAGCACTTGGGAAGCAGAGGCAGGTGGATCTCAGTGAGTTCGAGGCCAGCCTTGTCTACAGAGTTCCAAGACAGCCAAGGCTACACAGAGAAACCCTGTTGTGAAAAACATAGATAGATAGATAGATAGATAGATAGATAGATAGATAGATAGATAGGATATCTAGATAGATAGGTCAAATAGAAAGTATTCATCGAGATAGTTTTAGGATTAACTCATCTTAATTTTCCACTGATGCTAATAAAAGCTTGATTCTTCTCTCCAGATACTTAATTATCTGTGATCCATTATCAGGGAGAAGAGATGCTCATAAAAATCAGAGAAGCTGAGCTGGGTGTGGTGCCTCATGTTCTAATCCCAGCACTCATAGGCAGAGTCAGGAAAACCTCTGCAAATCAAATACCAGTCTGAGTTACACAAAAAGGCCTTGTCATTAAAAAAATCAGTTGGCTGATTCTGACTAGCATTCAGAAACAAAACAAAACACTGTAAGCTGAGAGTGGTCACTAGGACCTGAAAGCCCTGTGCTCAGGAAGCAGAGAAAGGAAGATTGCCTGTGTTATATAGTGAGCTCCAGGTCTGCCTGGGCTATGGAGTGAGACCCTGTCTCAAAAATATAAGAGAAAAGGGGAGGCGAGGAGCTGGCTTGTGGTGGTGAGTGCCTGTAGTCCCAGCCTGTGGGAAGAGGAGGCAAGGAAGGGTTTGAGGTCACCTTAATCAACATGGGATTGGAACCCACACCAAAACAAAAACAAAAAGAGAAAGGAAAACAAGAGAGGAAAGCAAAAAGAAAAAGACTATAGCAATTCTTATTTGTCCATAGTAAAGGCTGGGTTTTATGATGTCTGCTTACATTTGACTCCAGTTGTTTCAAATACTCACTACAGGTATTATGGGATATAATGTCTTGCCATACATTTGGCTCCCTGACCTTTCTGATGCTGGGAATTGAACCTAGGGCTTTCTGAGTGCCAGGCCAGCTCTCTTCCATTGATCTGTATCCCCAAACCCATTCCTTTTTCTAAATATAGCTTGTTGCTACTTTGTGGGGAGGGGAATTACTGAGACAGTATCTTTGTGTAGCCCGGGCTAGTTAAGTTGTTAAAAATGATAGCAAATGGTCCTCCTGCCTCTAGCCTGCTTTGTTACTACTGATCCTACATTGTCTTGCTACCCCAGTGTGCAGCCCAGTCTGACATTCAATGTGTCATCCTATGCTTCTGCCTTCAAAGTGCTGGGATTATAGGCCTACCCCAAGCACAACAGGCTGTGCAGTAACTGTTGTTTGTTTTACTTTTTTGAGAGTCTCACGATGTAATAATGCTGGCTGACTTGAACTTGCTATGTAAACCAGGCTAGGAACCTGCAGCCTAACAGAGAATCCTCTTGCCTCAGTCTCTTGAGTGCTGGGATTATAGAGGATATATGGAGGGAGGCAAGGAGGGAGGGTGGGAGGGAGAGAGAGAGAGAAATAGAGAGAGAGAGAGACAGAGAGACAGAGAGAGGCTCCTACTATGTATTTCTGGTTGGCCTGGAGCTATGTAAACCAAGCTGGCCTTGATCTGCCTGCCTCTGTTCACCAGAACTGGGATTAAAGGTATGTTCTACTATGCTTGGATATATTCTGTATCAGTGGTTCTCAACCTGTGGGTCATGACCCTTTTGGGGCTTGAATGTCTCTTTCACAGGGGTCACATATCAGATATTTACATTACAATTCGTAACAGTAGCAAAGGCACAGTTATGAAGGAAGTAGCGATGAAAATAGTTTTATGACTGGAGGTCACCACAACATGAGGAACTGTATTAAAGGGTTGCAGCATTAGGACAGTTGAAAACCACTGCTCCATATGCTTGAGCATCTATGTGGAGGTATGTGAACATGAGTGCAGTTATCGGCCAGTAGAGGGCAGCAGATGTGAGTGCTGAGAGTGTTTCTTTGTTTTTTGAGGCAGAGTTTCTCTGTGTAGCTGTCCTGGAACTAGTCTGTAGACCAGGCTGGCCTCAAACTCTGAGATCCACCTGCCTCTGCTTCCTGAGTGCTGGGATTAAAGGCAGGTACCACCACTGCCCGGCTTCTACTTTTTAACATTAATGGGCTGAGAGAAGCAGGCATGGGTAGACATAGATGCATCAAAGTTCTTTTTCCCTCCCGTTCCTGCCTTCTGCATATTTTGGAGATCACCTGAGCTGCTCCCTCCATCACCTGACTTATTTCTTATTTGGAGATCACCTGAGCTGCTCCCTCCATCACCTGACTTATTTCTTATTTGGAGATCACCTGAGCTGCTCCCTCCATCACCTGACTTATTTCTTGCCCCCCTCTGCCTGCAGCTGCTCTGTCCTCCTCACCTTTCTCTGCACTGTGCTCCATAGTGACCAGGGTCGCAGGGCAGCTCACAGCGGGTTCCATAGAAACCAGGAGGGCAGGAACAGTGGCCAGAAGTAACACTGCACTGGCCTCGAACACACTGGCACCTGTGAGTACACTCAGGACCCCACCAGCCCGGCAGGCAGGTACACTTGCCAGAGTCCTGCACGCAAGGCGAGTTGTGACAGCTGCACTTGAAGCTGCAGCGGTGGCCCCACCATCCAGACGGGCACAGGCAGGCTCCAGTGACCTGGTCACAGCGTGCTGCTCGGTTGCATTGGCATGGGCGACGACACGTGGGTGACCACCATCCAGGATCACAGTGACATAAACCTGTCTTTTGGTCGCACTGTCCATGGGGGCCGCAGGAGCAGACGGACTCACAGAGTCTGCCCCAGTAGTTAGGCTGGCACTGGCACACACCAGTGGCCGCCTCACACTGGCCATGTGGATGGCAAAGGCAGTTCTCACGGCAGTCAGGGCCCCAGTACTTGCCTGGGCAGCCTATGAGGTTAGGAATGGGAGGTAAGTGGATTCATGGCTGGGCACAGGTCCTCTCCCTGCCCCTTCCTCAAGGAAAAGGACACAGGCCTGCTCTTCAAGAGCCAAGGGCAGACCCTAAGAACATCTGGCATCTTTTCCTCCTGGGACCCAGCTCATTTCCGGCCCCAGATTCAGATGACAAAACCCTTAGCCTTGGCTTAACCTCCATTTCACATTCCAGAAAACAGATCTTGAGTTTGACAGATGTGTCCATTCTCACAGGTGGGTGGGATGTTTCCCTTCCCTCTCCCTGTGAGGTGTCTCTCTACCCTTCCTTGGCCATCACTGACACCTGGATTTCCAGTAAGAGATGCCTACCAGGAAGGCAGGAATGTCCATATGTCCTCTTCCAACCCAGGGATTCTTCATGCCTACTATTCACTCCTTCTTAGGAGTCTAGTTCCAGGCTCCTCCTACCCTCCACTCAAGTATGAGGTACAGTTAGCAGGGATCACAGGCCCATGGCCTTCTGCCCAGCTCTTATTTGTCCTTACAGAGAAGAGTGAAAGTGCCAGATAAACAGGGTTTTATGACCCCCAGCCCCACAGGACATCTCCCTGTCACTACTTTCTGAGCCTGTTTCCTCAGTGAAGCTTGGGGAATTTTGATCTTGCCCTTCTAAATTTACACCTCTGTTTGCTTTGCTTATTTCCTGCCCCTCAGCCAGTTCTGCCCAACAACTTGACCCGGCCATTGAAACTCACGGGAGTTGCACTGGGCTCCGAAGAATCCAGGTTTACATCGACAGAGACCTGGCTTCACGCACACCTCCTCTTCCTTGCAGGCATCAGGCCCCTCGCAGACGGCTGAAAAACACCCCACCCAGGCTAGAAAGGACTGGAACACAAAGGGCACCCTCTCACCCACTCCTGGGGCTCCGCTCCCTTCAAGGCCACCCTGTTAGTGGTCACAGGGTGGACACTATCTCCAGGGCTCAGGATGGGAGGCAGTGTAGGAAGGGTTGTCTCTGGGTCATATCCTTCCTTTCCATGGCTAGGGGACTGTCCCGGCTACTCACGGATTGTGCATTCTTCATCTTTCTGCCTCCAGCCTGGGCAGCACTGGAGCTCAGAGGGGCTGTAGGGTAGAAAGGGGATAGCAGGTCGCCTTAGTGTAGGTCACCAGTGCTGACTGAGGTGTGGGAGTCTCCCCAGGCCCACTTAGGAAATCTAGTCCTGATGTCACAGTCCATAGTTATAGTATCCATGTCCCCAGTCCTTTTTCCTCCTTCCCTGACCTTCCCACCACTCTGCCCTGGCCATCTATCACCTGCCAGGTGGCCCACAGAGCCCCCCTTCCTTCAGGCCCATGACCTCCTACCCGCCTCTTTATTTTCCAAGATGACTCAACCCTAGTCAGCCACCGCCTCTACCAGGCAGACTCCCACAAGACCCACCTGCTGCCTCTACAGACGTGCTGACCAGCTGGGTCTAGTGTGGATCCCTGGCTCCCCCAAGACAAGAGCAGCAGCAGAGGGAACGCCAGCCCCGGCTCCATGGCGGCCAGTGGAGTAGGAGGGCCTGGTTTGATCTGGTCCCCACAGTGCCCAACCCCCTCCCTGCTTCCTCCCAAGGCTTTTCCTGAGGAAGCCAGCACAGAGGGCGGACTACTATGAGGCACCTCCCTGGAGGGCAGGCAGCTCAACACTCAGAAATGAAAGGTGAAGGCTGAGTGGGCTTAGCCTAGCCTAGAGGAACAAAAGACTGCAAGCCACAGGTTCCCCAAGTACTGGAGACAGGCAAAGCAGTGGGGTGAGGGTGGGAGCCATACTCCCAAAATAAAGAGACACTTCTCATCCCCAGTGAGGAGACCTTGCAATGAAACATCACCATGTCACCACGCCTCTGCTCCTGGCCGGGCTGGGAAGGAACACAGCACTGACAGACAGACAGACAGACAGACAGACAGACAGACAGACAGACAGACAGCATGTTTAGGGGTGTTATGGGTACAAGCTTTATTGCACTGGTCACCTGCATAAGCCTCAGGGAGGCAGGCAGCCCACTGTCTCACAACGGGGAAAGTGGGGCTAGGGAGATGTCAAGGAAGGGAGACAGGCTGAAATCCCATCATGCCTAGTGCGGCTAGGTATAAGGGAGCCTCGTCCTTGTTTGAGTTCACACATCCATACACAGCCAGAACCCAAAGTTAAGCCTATTGCGTAGCTGAAGCCCTCGGACCACAGAAAGCAGAGAAGGGCCCATCAGGAGTCGGGGGCTGGAAGGCTGCCCACAGGTTCCAGGTGGGGATGCTGTGGGGCTGCTTCTCCTTCCTGTAGATTGCTGGGAGCTGTACTGCTGGTCTCAGCTTCGGGGGCCTCAGTTTCACCCCGATACCATAAACTAAAGCTGGAAGGAAACCAAGAGAGGTACATTGAGTCAAAGGCAGAGACGTCAGGAGTGTGGGCTGAGGGTAGACAGAGGTGAGGAGGGGGCTTTGGAGGGAAGAGGGCGGCACAAGGTCACAGGGACTGAAGGCAGTTAGGGCAAAGAAGCAGCAGGGAAGACAGCAGAAAAAAGGGCGGAAAGGAGCCAGGCAGGCCCCTCCCCCGCCCCTCCCCCAACATACAAATTCTGTATTCTGGATCCAGGAACTAGGGGAGCATCTTCCTTGTCGTTGGAGAGCAGGAGCCATGAGTCATCCTCATCATCACTAAGATAAAGAAATGGAGGGCTTAATGGATACTGAGTCCAGCTCATGTAGAGCCTCCTGAACTACTTTCAGGAGCATCAGGGGAGGATGGAGGGACTGCAGACGCCTCAGGGCTGGAAAGGGGACACTGAGGAGACATGGGACATCTTGAGGCTTTCACTTTATAGCCCAGCAAACAACAGCCTCTCACAAGGCAGCAGCCACAGCTTTCTTTAGGAATGAGCTCCAGCCAAGGAAAGAAACAGAAATGAATGTGGAGAAGTGGCATTCACAATTTCTGCAGCGGGATGGACAGCAGCCAGGGCAAGTGGGAGCCGTGGGTTCCAGAGGGAAGGATGGCAGCTGGACAGCAGGTTCCGTGAGGCACAGGACGAGGCGAGGCACAGGGCGTGGCGAGGCTGGGTCACTGGGTACATCAGAACTCAGCAGGCAGAGGTCTGTATGGAGGCAGGGTCTTACCTGCCCTCTGCTTCCTCTGGTGTCCCTAACATCTTGGCCTTAATCTTCTTCCGCTGTTTCTTGACTGCCACCTTCATGGCTTCAAGTAGAAGCCCAGGGACCCGGTGATCTGTGAGCAGCTCTCTAAAGAGGGGGTGAGAGGGGGAAGGAAGTGGGAATGCCAACAGCAGGTTTCCAGCTAGTACTGAGCTCTGCTTAGTTCCCCCTGGAAACACCTGAAGGCTCTGTATTGCTAACACCTCTCAACTGAACTTAGATGGCCCCTCCTAAGAATACCTCCGACCTGCTGCTCTAGTGGTGACCCCTGGTGTTGCCCTGTTTGAATGAGGTTCCAGAAGGGCAGGGCTATGGATTTTATTTCTTCCCAGTACCTGAGCAGGACACTGTCAAATGTCACTGCTGACCCTATAAATGATCCAAAGAATGAGGTGGGGTGACCTGTAGCCCAGGAACAGGCGGCTTGCTTCCGGCCCCTCACCGCTGGAAGTAGGCCAATTCCTCCTTGAGCAAGAATACGTTGGCTTTGAGCTCATTCCTCTCCTGGAGGATCTGCTTAAGCTCCTCGCGGCTGAAGCCACACTGAACGGCCTCTGGAGGGCGCCCTGGCTGCTGCAGAGTATCCACCTGTGCGAGGTCAGGCATGATCAGAGGGTAGCCTCTCTTAGCCCTACCCTAAATCCCGGTGCTCACAGTAATGTTAGGGAAAGTGTCTGGCAGGAAAAGTTAAGAGACAAGGTGTCGGACTACTGCTGCAATGGAAACTCCGTTGCTGCCTTCCGACTTCTGCGAACCTTCTCTATACTGCATGGCACACGCAGGCCAGGCCCACCAAGTGCTGGATGTTGTGAGCTCTGGGATGAATCCTGACTCCGCTCCAGCTCTCACCCGGTCATCTGGGGTAGCCTCTTCGGGCTCCAGACTCTGTTCTTCAGCCAGCTGGCGGGAGCCATCCAGAGCTATTTGGCGCTCCCTCTCTCGGTCCTGTGCGGCTCTGAGTTGGGTCTGCACTGCGGCCAGCTTGTGCCGCAACTCCGAGTTGACCAGCAGGAGGCGCTGCAACTGCTCCTGCAGCTGGAGGTGGAGCGAGAGAACAAGTGGAAGTGGGCGGAGCTCCAAAGCCCGCCCCGGCCCCGCCCCACTCCGCGCTCCCGTCTGGTCTCGCGCTCACCGCTTCTGTCTCTTGACTTCGGCGCTTTAGATCTCGGCTGTGTGCCCGAAGTTCGTCCCGCTGTCTGTCCGTCACTTCCTTGAGCTGTCGCAGCAGCGCGCGCTCCTCTGAGGAAGGGGTGTTCTTAGCACCAGTCTCCGGGGTGCGAAGGTCCCGGTTGCCCCTTAGCTCACTGTGCTTCGGCGGGACCCGCACTCACCCTGCGGCCCTGAGCTTAGCTCCCCGCGGAGGCGCTGGTTCTCCTCGCGCAGCCGCCGTAGCTCTAGTTCGGCCTGCTGCGCGGACACCTGCAGCTGGAGGAGCCAGGGGACTTGGGGTTAGGGCCTGCCGGTTGTCCCGGGTAAGAGGAGGAGCCGGTGACTCACCGAGTCCGGAGCGGGCCCCACGGCCGCCTTTTCCAAGAGTTCCAGCGCCCGCACCACTAGTGGCACCAGCCCAGCCGCCGCGTCGGGCCCGAAACGGCGTGCCAGTGCCTGCAGTTCAGTGCCCAGGGCCCCCGCTAAATGGTACACGAGCTCCGCGGCTGACCCCGCGCTCCCAGCAGAGTCCTGGCTGGGTGGTCCGGGCGTTACCCTTCTGGGTTCCATTTTTCCTCTCCTAAGGCCAAAAGCCGCCCCCACCCTCAACTGGGGCAGGAAAAAGCCAAACAGTTCCGGCCCAGGAAGTTTAGGGCCATAAGGGGCGGAGTAGAAACGACAAGGGAGGAGCAAATGGGGAAAAAAGCTTTGGGATGGGAGAGTGTCCTGGGCCCCTTGAGCCCTATTCTGGTCCACCTACAAGGTCACTGGATATAGGACAGCAACTTCCAGGCAGGTATCCAAGAGCTGAGGGGAGGGCCGTAAGTGGTCACTCTAGGCAAGCCCTCCCCATAGTGCCTGAGCCAGGCTCCACCCCTACACTCGGCTGCCAAGCACTCCAGAGAAGTGAAAGACTGAAGGTCAGCAAATAGCCTCTACTGGACTGCTGGGACAGCCACCGATGTACTTGTTACCCCACCAGAAACGACAAAGTTCACAAGTGGACAAGGCCAGGCCTTACAGCTACAGGACCAAAGAATCGTTAGAAGTGATGTTGAAAATAGGTGGTTTCCAAGGACAGAGAAACCAGCAAATATGCTCAAGGCAGTAGAGTGTGAAAGCCAGGCCCAACTCAGCTCCCTGAGTCTAGGGTACATGGAGCCTCAAAGGCCTGAAGGCGGGGCCCAGTACCTGGCTGTGAACTGCCCAAGCCAGTCCCCAAAGTAGTCTACACCCAGAATCTGAACTCATAAGAGCAAGAAAAAACAGCACTCCTATTTATACAAAATTTATTACATTTTGTTCAGGATTACAGTCTATCAACAACAAGCACAAACACAAAAGGGGCCAGGCTGCTGAATGTCAGCAGCTTGTCTATGGGGAGGCGCAAGAGGCTCCAGCCTTTGGGGAATCCAAAGTGGCAGGGCGGAAGGAAGGAAGGACGGAAGGAAGGAAGGAAGGAACTAGGCGTAGAGATCCTCTCTGTCTGCAGAGTAGACCTCACCCTCCTGCAGGAGGGCGAAGTTGAGGAAGTGGGAGGGTCTATGGACCTCATGGTAGAATTCCTTGGGGTTTGCCAGCTGCAGCTCGTATTTCATGTTGGGATCATGCCGAACACCTTAGAGAGGGAACACCGGATGTTAACAAGGGTCTGCCTGCCTCACCCAGCCCAAGCCCTTGGGCAGTCAGACCCCAAGAGCCAAAGGTGCTGGCTTCTACTTCCACCCCTACCCTGCCCACAGCACCCATGCTGTCCCGCACAACCACATACCCATAAAGTTGTAGTTCCAGGAGGACTGGGCAGGAACCATAAAGAAGCCGAGGAATCGGTCTGACAGGAGCATCTGGACCCTCTCGTAGTGCGAGGGCAGGTAGCCTTTGGGGTTGTTGCCTTTGTCAGTGTTCTGTCGGCCCCACTCATAGCCACTGGGGGTCAACTTGTAGGCTGTCAGTGTGCAGGAACCTGGGGTGAAGCTGGGGGGGAGAGAAAAAGACAGGCTGAGAGCTTGCCACCAATCCAGGTCTTGACCTGCAATACCTACCCTATATTTCCACTCAAGGAGGCCACACCCACCTGCAGGTGATGATAATTGTCTTCTCGCCATCCCAAGATGGGTTGTCAGCCATGATCTTGGCATGAGTGGTGACATCTTGGGGTGATAGCTGGGGAGACTCATTGGGTTGAGTGTGGATCCAACCTAAGGGTTCCATCTCCTGCAGACAAAGGGCAATAAAGAGCTGTCCAACCTATCTGCAGACAAATGCCACCCATTAGGGTATCATGACAGTAAGTTCACTCCCAGGCTCTACCACCACAAACCTTGAGGTATTCATGCTGGGGTAGCTGGCTGGGCAGATGCACAGTCTGGTGAGTGCCCCACTGTGGCACCATCACAATACAGCGGATCTCCTTCACCTGAGGGTTATCTGGAGGACTCACCCCATATAGGTACCCTGCAATCTAGAAACGAGATCAGAAATGATTCTCAGTGCCAACTCAGAATGCCAGAACTTCTTCCCATTCCCAAGAAAAAGTTGGTTTTTCAAAACACAGTCAAAAACTGCTGGGGAAGAATCATCTGGTTACTTGTTCAAAATGTTACACACGAACCTCATCTCAAACTGTCCCCAGGATCTGGGAGAATCAAACTTGGGTCATTAGGTTTGGTAGCAAGTGCCTCTCTTTAGCCACTGAACCCAAAAGTTCTTAAAAATATTTTTTTTGTTGTTGTTGTTTTTTCGAGACAGGGTTTCTCTGTGGCTTTGGAGGCTGTCCTGGAACTCGCTTGGTAGTCCAGGCTGGTCTCGAACTCACAGAGATCCACCTGCCTCTGCCTCCTGAGTGCTGGGATTAAAGGAGTGTGCCACCAACGCCCGGCAAGTTCTTAAAAATTATAATTGGAGTTGGAGAGTATTGGTTGCTCTTCCAGAAGACCTGGGACAGATTCCTGGCATCCACACCGTGGCTTACAACTGTCTATAACTCCAGTGCCAGGGCACCTGACACTTTCTTCTGCCCTCTACACATATGGCACGCATATGGTGCAGACATACATTCAGCAAAACACCCACATATATATACATGGAGAAATGACTTAGTAGTTAAGATCACTGACTGTTCTTCCAGAGGACCTGGATTTAATTCCCAGCACCCACATGGCAGCTCACAACTGTCTGTGACTCCAATTCCAGGGGATCCAACACCCTCCAACAGGCATACATGCAGGCAAAACACAAGTAATATAAAATAAAAATAACTTTGAAATATTTTTAATGTATTGTTATTATGTATGTGTATGTAAGAGGACTTGTGTACTTGTGTATGCCACTGAGTGAGTGTGAAGGTCAGAGGACAAGTCTGTGAAATAGGTTCTCTCCTTCCACCTTTACAGGGTTCTGGGGAATCAAAACTTGGATGTCAGGCTTGTGTGAGACGCTTTACCTACTGAGCCACCTCACCAGATTTAGGTTGTAGTTTTTTTTTTTTTTCTTCTTCTCAAGAAACTGAACCCAGGGCTTTAGAGCATGCCGGGCAAGCAGTCTGCGACTGAGAGAACTCAGGACCTCTGGAAGAGCAGCCAATGCTCTTAACCTCTGAGCCATCTCTCCAGCCCCCTCTCTTGTTTTTTTGAGGCAGGGTCTCACTAGGTAGCTCTGGCTGTCCTGGAACTCACTATGTAGACCAAGGTGGCCTGGAACTCACATGGCACTGTGTTACAAAAAGATTCTTAAATTTATTATGTGTGTACCTATAGATAAATGCATGCCACGGTGTGGAGCTGGTTCTCTCCTCCACAGTGGGATCTGGGGACTTAACTCAGGTTTTCAGTTTTGTGCAGCACACTTTTTGGGTTTTTGGTTTGAAAACTTTTAAACATGTTCTTATTTAGTGTGTGTATATGCATGAGGGCATGTGTATCACACTGGGCATGTGGAGGTCAAGCACAATTTACAGGAGTCAGTTCTCTCCTTCTACCATGTATATTCTGGAGCTCACAAGCTGGCTAGCAGACTTGGGAGCAAGCACCTTTAACTACAGAGTCATTTCACCAGTCTGACATTTTCATACAAATCTGCAATGGGTTTTTATTTATTTCCTTGAGAAAGTCTCATTTGTACTGGCTGGACCACAAAGTTGGCTTTGAACTCCCCATCAGCCATAGAAGCTTGGATCATGGGCCTGTGTCACCGTAGCCAACAAGGATAGAACTGTAAGTCTCAGTCTGTAGTGAAAGCTGACTTTTAAAATTACAGCAATTCTGTTGCCTCAGCTGTCCGAGTGCTGAGATTAAAGAGTGCACCACTATGCCCAACTGTGTTTAATGCTGTGAAAGGTTTTCTCAACACTAAGCTTATCAGCATTGCGCCACCAACGCCTGGCTGTATTTTTTTGTTTGTTTTTTTACATTCATATTTTACACTATTTAGATTTTACTTTTGTGAGTGGTGTGAAAAAAGGACCCTGCTCTTTCCTATCTCAAAATCATAAAGTATGCAGTAATAAGATCTGACTATGCATTTGTCTGAACCTATTTGTTATTCTTTGCCAATAAATTCTACCCCAATAATATTTTCTCTTAATTGTCATAGCTTTGTGAAATGTTTTGATACCCTCTTGTTTGTGCCATCTTTTTATTTTTTGGTTTTTCAAGCCCTAGCTGTCCTGAAACTCGCTCTGTATACCAGGCTGGCCTGGAACTCAAGAGATCCGCCAGCTTCTGCCTCCCAATTACTGGAATTAAAGGTCTGTGTCACCACTGCCCAGCTGTGCTGTCTTTTTCAATCTATTCATTCATCCATGACTCTTGAAACCAGCATCTCCAAGTTCCTGGAATTATCAAGTGAGACTTAGGTACAGACTAAGTGGGCTCGCACGACAGCCCAGCTGTGTATTTACTCACTTGGGCACGGAGATCAGATATGCAGATGAACTTCTTAAGCACATTCTTGGGAAGGATGTAAGTATAACCAGTCTCCTTAATGTCATCAGATGAAACATAAATGTGATTGGTCCGTAGATGCAGGTTGGCAGCAGAGATGGCCCTAAAGAACAGACAAGGGTGTCAGCATCTCAGCCCAAGCACACCCAGCAACACTGATGGGCTTGTCCATCACTAACTTCTTGCCCTCTACAGTACCTGACTCTCCATTCAGTCTTTGATGAGAAGGTCTGGGTCTCATAGTTGCTAGTGGTGGAGGTGATAATCTCATCACCATGCTTGTTGACAGTTCGAGTCTGCGTGGCAGTGAGCTGTGACTGTTCCTTGGTCTGCTTCTCAATCTCAGCTATCTGCTGCCGCTGCTGTGATGGTGCCGAGATCTCCATGCCTAGGATGATGTCTCGAATTTCTGACTGTGTCAGTGATGCCACATTCACACTGTGGGGACACTGTAAGTTAAGCAGGATCCCTCCCCCTTGTTGGCAAAGCAGAACCTGGTAGACAGGGCATACTTTGCCAAGAAAATCCTCAAATATTATTCCTTTAATTTTAATTTTTAAATTTATTTACTCTGGGGGAGAGGGACATAGCTCCATGCAAGTACAGAGGTCAAAGGACAATTTATGGGAGGTTTCTCCTCCACCTTGTGGTTCTAGGGGTTGAAGTCGGTCCTAAGACTTGGCAGCAAGCACCTTTATTCCGAAACATTCTTTAATTGACGCTTGTAAGAAAAGCATGAAATGGAGATGTAGTGATGGGGTGCAGAATTGTTGCACCCAAAGCAGCATGACACAATAATGCACATGTCTTTTTATCTATTT